ACAGATCGGACTTTGTTGAGCGTCACACAAACAGATCGGACTTTGTTGTCGTGTGCACGAAAAGATCGGACTTTGTTGACGGGAGCGCAATTAGATCAGACTTTGTCCTTAGGACGCGTCGATAAGCTTTCACAGCTAGTTGCTTTATTTTGTAGACAACTGTCATGGCTAATTTATTAGCTCTCCTATCTAAGAATTAGCTAGGAGAGCTAATATCCTGATCTAGGGCCATATTGGCGAATGCATTTGCTCATTTAGCTAATTCTTTTTTTTCCGAGCAGGATAGAGAATGACGAGTCGCGTGTGTTCTTGCCCTCAACTAGTTTATTGTCAGTTTAACAGCTGTTTATAAGAGCGGAAACAGGTAACAGATGACGTGTTACCAACGTGTGCATGTGATACTAGTATATTACGTGACACTAATGAGCAGTGATGGGCATGAACCTAAGATTTAATCCAAAGCAGGGTTGCCACGCGTCAGAATAATCAGGATAATCAGGTAATCAGATAATCTGGGTTTTTAAAAGTTGTCAGGATAATCAGGATAATGTCAGAATTTTGGAGTAAAAGTGTCAGGAGAAATAGTTAGTACAGGTTATCGTCATGATGCTTAGCGCTTCTTCGGCCAGCGGCGTGGCACTGTGGTAGTGCGCCACTCTGATATATTTTCCCTAAAAGAGAAACAGAAGAAATGAGCTATGCCTTTGTCATGCGATCTTGAAGTACCTGTAATGTAAATGAAATTAACAATGTACTAATGTGATTGCCAAATCAAAGGAAAATGAGGGGAAATAAATGTTTGAGAGAGAAGGGAATTTGTGGGACGAAGACATGACGGAGTATTGACGGGAAGGGGAGGTAAGGGACACCAACAAGCAGTATCGCCGGCTGCCCGCTGCAAGGCAGGGCAGCGGCACGGGGTAGCACTAGTGCGTCTGGGACGCACGCTAAAGGCACTTCCAGTACGGGGTATTGCTGCTATCAGCACGATTTACCAAAAGGGATTTCCTTATTTGACAGGTTTTTGAAAGCTTTTTAGCTTTTATTTTACTCTCTAACATGTACAATTGCAACTATCTAATTGAATAATATTTCCTGGTTATCCTTGGTTATCCTTGGTTATCACTAGAATTCTTCAATCTGGAATGTTTTAAGTGTCTCCTGTAAGATAAGGGTTGGTGGACTTACGCGCTTATGTTGGCTCATCAGTGACTTCGCAGCTCTGCAAAGTGAATGCTTTGTAGGAATTTAACAGTGTGGTCAGTTATGTGAGCTACGCTATCAGTTACTCATCTAAATATTTTATATTATGTTGTAGGTGAAACCACAGTTGCCTATTTATTTGTTCGAAGAAAGTGGAACTGGGACGAATTGGAATTTAGCATTTTCTCCACGTACTGTGTTGTCCTGAACTTAATTGGTAAGTGACCTTGATTTAAAACGAAACCATTTGCAAAAAACAGTTTTTCCGAGTGTGTCGTACAATAACCGTGCAACATTGTAAACGTAAGAGCATTGCGTTTTAACTTTATCGTCGAGTAAAACCGACGCATTCTTGATTACAATGCCCTATCTACGGGGATTCGTCTTTAAAATGTCCAATTTACAAAGGGACGTTTACACACACAGTGTTCTATCTGCATTGGATTTCTTAAGTAGCCGAAACTTTTGACATTTTCTTAAAAATTATGTGGACCCGAAACTAGTGTCGTTCTTTAGTACTCTACCTTGACAACCGCATTTGTTCAGTTTCAAGATTAAGTCCTGTTTCAGAGGAAATTCCAGAATATCTAAATGGTTTTTAAACGCCATGTTCGCTTATGCACCATCCTCTGTTTCCACGAAAATTATGGAAAATGCTTAATTGATCTAACGACATATCTTCGGAACTAAACACAAAATTTTAAAAATTATTTTTCACAAAGAAATTTGCATCGACTGTTATGGTAAATTACGGAACCGTTTTACAGTATCCGTAACTATAACAAGCAGGCCCGCCCTTCCGCCAAACGGAGTTGCCAGCTCCACTTCGCTGCGCCGGCAACTCCGTTCGGCAGGGGCCGGGCCTGCTTGGCCTGCCGGCGGCGATGGTCGGGCCTTCGGCCCGACCATTTCAGTCTCGCGATTTACTGAAGGGCATAATCAAATAAATTATGTGACCGGTAAATCTCTTTGCATATTTGAGTAAACTTAAGCGTCTTGCGGGGGGCCTGCGGCCCTAGAAATTTTTCCTTTGGACATGACAAGAGACTGTAACGGGGCAACACCGTGACTACACCCCACCCTTCTGCTTTGCCCAAGGATTAAATAAGGTGAACCAGCGCAGTTTTTAGGTTGTACATTGTTTGTCAAACAGTCCTAAAACTTGACTTTTTGCCAAATTTTTCAATATATCCACCTCTAGGGCCGAAACAGTGAAAGATACGGCAAATCTGATGGTAGTGTCTGATTCAGAATGTGTTGTTTTGGGGGGGTACTTCCTCTGACATTTTACGATTGGACGCCTCCTTGTACGTCTTTATGAGCAACGCGGTCATTTTCGCCGTATTTCGTCGAAATAAGCACTCTAGCGCCCAAACGGTGCAAGATAGGGTCAAACGGACGAAATTTTCGCCCAAAGGGCTCTACTTTCACGAGTTACCCCTTAGGAGACCATAAAAAAATATTTGATTTTCTACTTTTTGGACTAACCCCTATTTATTCGTTACCCCCTTTCACCCCCTTAGGGGTGGTTGCCAGGATTTGCACCAGGCGTTTCGTTGTCCAGGAGTGACCCCTAAGATACCCTGAAATTTGCAGACCTCTAGCTCATCTCCTTCCTCTTACACGGACGACGGACAGACAGACAGACAGACAGACAGACAGACGGACGGACACGAGAGCGGTTGCATAAGCCCGCTTTAATGCTTTTTTAAAAGCAGAAGGGCGGGCTAAAAACCGCGTAAAAATTCATTTTTGAAGATTGAAGTAACTGTCTCATGTAGTCCTTAAGCGTTTTCTCTTGATTGCATTTTTCAGGAACTTTAGTAACCGTCGGGCTTTTCAGCGCCGTGCTGAAGTTCCATGACAGTGCTATTGGAATGATAGCGTGCGCTTCGAAAATCTCAGCAGCACTTCTCTATGCGTTTTCCACATCAGTACCAATGGTATGCTTTGGTAAGTTCTTACGGCTCTTGGTTTTCGCTTTGATTTTGTCCTCCTAAGTTAGATATTTTTCTTTCACCGTCCCCCTCTGCCTTTCTGCTTTTAAAAGCCCCGGAGCACACTTGCCCAAGCCACTTGATTTGCTTTCTTGATGCAATTTTACATGTCGACCGATGAAGGAACTTCTGCAAACAGCTGCTCTCTACAAACATACGTCTGAAATGCCATCAAGCGCACAAGTGGTTACCATAGGGCTCCGTAAACAGTTTCACTGGCACGCATGGTTTCACTTCAGCAGAGGCGTATATAGAAGATAACAAAGAGGCATGGATTTAATCCCATTAGAAATTTCCGAAAGACGTTGGAAAAGCTATTTGCCATGTTCTCGATGGGATCGCACGGAAAAAAGAGAATCAGCTAAATAAGCTAATGCATTCGCTGATATGGCCTTAGATTAGAATATTAGCTTTTCTAGCTAATTCCCATCGGCTAAGAAAGCTAAAATATTACGACGCGTCCTAAGAACAAAGTCTGATCTTTTCGCGCGCCCGTCAACAAAGTCCGATCTTTTCGCGCGCCCGTCAAACAGACAGTCTAGAAAAAGTAATGACTGATATGTGATCCTAAGAGATTGAAGAATAGCTGAGACCAAAAATGTTAAGCAAAGATACAGAAACAGAATTGTCACAAAGCTCCAAACGTCCGCCTCCCGAGCGCGTCCGAACACAGATCGGACTTTGTTGAGCGTCACACAAACAGATCGGACTTTGTTGTCGTGTGCACGAAAAGATCGGACTTTGTTGACGGGAGCGCAATTAGATCAGACTTTGTCCTTAGGACGCGTCGATAAGCTTTCACAGCTAGTTGCTTTATTTTGTAGACAACTGTCATGGCTAATTTATTAGCTCTCCTATCTAAGAATTAGCTAGGAGAGCTAATATCCTGATCTAGGGCCATATTGGCGAATGCATTTGCTCATTTAGCTAATTCTTTTTTTTCCGAGCAGGATAGAGAATGACGAGTCGCGTGTGTTCTTGCCCTCAACTAGTTTATTGTCAGTTTAACAGCTGTTTATAAGAGCGGAAACAGGTAACAGATGACGTGTTACCAACGTGTGCATGTGATACTAGTATATTACGTGACACTAATGAGCACTGATGGGCATAAACCTAAGATTTAATCCAAAGCAGGGTTGCCACGCGTTAGAATAATCAGGATAATCAGGTAATCAGAAAATCTGGGTTTTTAAAAGTTGTCAGGATAGTCAGGATAATGTCAGAATTTTGGAGTAAAAGCGTCAGGAGAAGTAGTTAGTACAGGTTATCGTCATGATGCTTAGCGCTTCTTCGGCCAGCGGCGTGGCACTGTGGTAGTGCGCCACTCTGATATATTTTCCCTAAAAGAAATGCAAAAATGCACCTTAGCGATTGCCTTCGCAGATCAGGAAGTACTATTTTCCGAATTAACTTGTCTAATATCGGATTTTAAATTGAATTTCGTCCAGGATAGACCTTTTATCCAAACGATGCGGGAACGCCGCGCCGCACGCTAATAGTTTCCAGCGACAAACTCTTAAGGGGGCAGACCTGTGAAACGCAAGGGTTTGGGAAAATAGGAACTACAAGAAAACGAAGACCCGTAGCGCTTTCAACGAACAAAATTTAGAAAGAGCAAGGATTAAACTACGTTTTGATGTATACAACGTCTGCCTCCTTCTCCGGGAACATGCTCTTCTTTGTCTGTACGTGGAGGGTTACGGGCCTTTACCGTGTGCAGTATTGCAAAATTGGACCTACGGCAACGACAAAAATGCTCATCTACTCTTAAAAAATGTAGCTTTCGTTTGACGAGAGCGATTTTGAATTTTTTGTTTTTAAGTGTGTGAAAAAAATTCCGACTCCCCAAGCAACAGTCCGGAAAAGCGAGGCTCTGATGCTACACGGAAAAAAAAGGGTTGGTCGTGGTGACCAGATTGTCCTGGTTGAGACAGAATTGGTTGTAGGCATCGAACCGCTTGGTTGTGGCAGCCGGCTGGGTTCCCTCTCGTGTTACAACTCGCTTCGTAGGGTGTGCTCGGTCACTACAATCAAACTCCACCCTACATTCTGGCTTGGCTGTGCCCATGCAAGTGGCTTGCTCGTGGTAACTACCCGGCGCCGTTTACCTAGGTCGACGATCACTACAGGGACGTGCGAGAGAAAAGGGGTTGCCCACTATGCCTTGTCGCCACCTAGCGGCAGAAATCAGAATCACGTGCAGCGTGGCACTCCTTTCGCAACCCGGAATGATTATTTCCTTAATTTCATTTCACCCACGACTATTTTACGCGAATAACTCCTTCCTACGGCAAGATAACAACCATTTGAAATTATATTTCGATTATTGAAAACCATTATTTAATTATTTGCAAAGATACGCTTAAATTTCTGTTACCTCGCGGTGAGGCCTTCGGTCGCCTCCATTGGTGGGTATCCCGAGTAACATATCCACGGTACTCTGAAAAAGGGTCTGACAAATAATCGTCTAGGGGCGATTGTTGAGACTTGCCTATTTTTGACATGTGCCAGATCTCAGTGGATCGCAGAATCTTGATTTCAAACTTCAATATTAATTTCTAGTCAAAAATCAGACAAAACAAGTGACGCCCGTTTAGTATGTCCTTCAAGACGACAAATCGATCACGGCGATCAACTTTTTAGCTGCAGCCACGAGGTGTAAAACAGACCTACTCCCTGCAACCAAGTAAAGTTCGATTCCTGCTATTAGCGGTTCTGATCGCCACGATCAACCCGTCGGTTGTCGCAACTAACCTGCTGCAGCTATTCCGCGTGGTTGTCCAGTCAGAAAGTCGATACTGCTGGTATCTATCGAGAGAAATGGTCGTGGCGATCGACTTTCGGTTGCCGCAACCAACAATTTTTTTCCGTGTAATCGAGGCTGATAATGAACAACCCGACGCGTCCTAAGAACAAAGTATGATCTGTTTGCGTCAACAAAGTCCGATCTTTTCGCGCGCCCGTCAACAAAGTCCGATCTTTTTGCGCGCCCGTCAACAAAGTCCGATCTGGTCTTGGTCGCGCTCGGGAGGCAGACGTTTGGAGCTTTGTGACAATTCTGTTTCTGTATCTTTGCTCTACATTTTCGGTCTCAGCTATTCTTCAATCTCTTAGGATCACATAGCACTCATTACTTTTTCTATACTGTCAATATTAGAGGAGATGGAAATAAACTAAACCAGCGATGCAGAGCGCGGACCAAAACAGATCGGACTTTGTTGACGGGCGCGCAAACAGATCAGACTTTGTTCTTAGGACGCGTCGAACCCTCTGATTACTTTAATGTCTTTTTTGTTCGAACAGCACCAATCTTGGACATGATGAGCGGTACGTCCTTCATAACCATGCGTGCCCTTGCTTCTAAGCTTGTCGCAAACGATGAGCTAGGTAAGATACTAATGCTTTACCAACACTTATCTACTTCGTGTTGGGGCGAACGAGGGTTGTCGGCGATGAAGTGTAATTTAGACTAGGTACGACTTATCTCTAAAAAAAGATGTAAAAAATAATGCATCCCATTGCATGCGTTAAATTCAGTGTGCAAACCATGCATGGGGATCGTACCCATACTACGTGACCGATTTTCTGGGATTTTTGACCCCCCCCTCCCCCCTCGTGACATGTGGTAGTATTTGGCTGGACCCCCCCCCCCCCCCCCCCGAAAATCACGTAGTATTCCAAAAACTGCTGTTTTAACCTCATTTCAACAAATTTGGTGAAGTCAGTCATTTTAGCATCGGCCAACCGTACAAGGTGGAAAAGAATAACATTGCATTCTAAGTATGTGCACTCTCTTTATTATTTCAAACGAAAAATAACACTGAAATCCGTTTTGTGATACTTTTACTGATTTTTTGCGATAACTGGTGTTTTGCGATTCCCACGCTGCAGGGGCTGATAACCCCCAAAAATGTGATAAAAGTATCACACAATTCTGATGAAATTATCACAAAAACTGTAATAAAAAGTTAGTGATTGATTTTTGTGATGATTTTATCACAATACAATGTGATACTTTTATCACATTTTATGGGGTTATCAGCCCCTGCAGCGTGGGAATCGCAAAACACCAGTTATCGCATGGTTTTGTGGTAAAGTGTCGCAAAACCAGACTCAGTGAAAAGCTTTGAGTGATGAATTAGATGACTCAGTTAAAGAAACGCACGAAATTTATCGTAAAATCTCGTTTTGAAAATACTACGTGACTTCGGCCGAACCCCCTCCTACCCCCCCGTGACCGATCGCAGTATTTTGCCAAACCCCTCCCCCCCCTTAGAGCGGTCACGTAGTATGGGTACGATCCCATATAACGCATGCAATGCATGCTGTTGGGTTTTCATGGCAAATGGCTTTCTGCTTTTATTTGAGGTTAGGGTTGTCCACGTTTAAATTAAATAACTCCCGAAGCTAGAGACATAAAAGTACCGTGTAAGAAATTTCCGGCGTTGACAACCGAAACGAATAATTGGTTTAACGCTCATAGTGTTATATAACCTCTACTGTGAGATATAAGAACCCAAAGTCGCGAGGTGGGAAAAGTAGTTAGCCGTTTGTCTGCACAGCTCAAAAAGATAGTCGTTTGCCTGCCACGCCCAGAAAGATAGCAACTTGTACGTAGGAAGGGTCGAAATGAGGGGTAATTATGAAGTAAGATCCCACTTCAAATCTGGGCACTGAAGCTCAAACGGTTGAAAAGATATAAATTCCTAAACATTTTGATGCAAAAACAGCGTCTTTGAGAGGGGGTATGAGTACAACTCTATGAATCTTTACAGTAGAGTCAAAACTGACAGCACCATTGGAAAGAGAATTAAAAACTGATTCAAGACCACCTTAAGCAAAAAGTTGGATTTCTAATTCCTACCCTTCAATGAGAGATATTTAAAAAATTTAGCAGAATATCGTTACTCTGATAACAAAAATAGATAGTATTCAAATCATACTTAACTTGGTTTGCAACTTACTCTAAGGTCCCATAACGTTCTCTAATATTTACAGAGAAGTGATATTCAACTAGTGTAAAACCATTTTTTTTTTTTTACTTCTTTCTCTATGTTAGTTAACGAATGGGAAAGAATATTTTTCCAAAGTTTGAATATCACCTTGGTTTAACAGTGTGACTGTGAACCAAGGCACTTTACAAACTGTCACGTCAATCTTCCATGCTGGAATTGATTTTACTACCTTTTACTTTATCCCATTAAGGCAAGGTGAACTCCCTGTTCGGTGTTGGTGAGGCACTTATGCCTGTCGTTTGCGGTCCTTTGTACTCCAAGGTGTATCAAATGACGGTCGACACCTTGCCTGGCACGTTTCTTCTATTGAGTGCCGGTATAACCTTGCCGGTATTCGGTATCTTCGGGTGAGAATTGTTTCATTTTGATATTGATACTAGAATTTGTTTCTGATTTTAGTTTAGCCTTTTCACTGTGAAAAATATCGTCATAAATCTACAAAAAAATTAAACTCGAATTATAATTTGAGTTGTAAATTAACGAGAGCACATTTTGTACTGGCCAATGCATTTTAAGTCGATATGTATTTTTACGATTGCAAATTGTAATTTTACAACTTGTGTCAAGCAAAATTTTCCTGTAAACCTACCTACTATTTTTCACAGTGTTCCGACTTGCGAACAATATTCTTTTCGGCACTACTTTTAATTTTGTTGCAGATGGTACTACTACGCAGCATCAAGAGAGAACAGGTTATCTGTGGGCAGGGTCCACTGACGATACAAAAGCTTCTACCTGACAGTAAAATATTTATA